GGGAGGAGAGTTATCAGTAGCTGAATGCGGGGACACACAACTGTTTCCCCAACTGAGAGCCACACAGGATGCAGACCAGCCTTGTCCAAATGAGGACAGAGGAAAAGAATGGTGGGAAGCTAAAGACCAGCATGGAGACCCTGTCTGAAAAAGAATAAGAGGAGGAGGAGGAGAAGGAGGAGTGTTGGGGTGTGGCACAAGAAGGAGCCCCTGCCTAGGTTCCCCAGGTGAGGGGCTGTTGTTAAAGGCCATTGCTGAACCCATATAGACTTACTTGTCTGTTAACCATTTTAAAGGCAGGGTTGATTGCTGTGGGATGTTCTGTATGGCAAATGTGTTGCTGATTAGTCAATAAATAAAACACTGATTGGCCAGTGGCTAGGCAGGAAGTGTAGGCGGGACAAGGAGGAGAATAAAGCTGGGAAGTGGAAGGCTGAGTCAGAGACACACTGCCAGCCGCCACGATGACAAACAGCATGTGAAGATGCCGGTAAACTATGAGCCATGTGGCAAGGTATAGATTAATGGAAATGGATTAATTTAAGCTGTAAGAACATTTAGCAAGAAGCCTGCCACGGCCATACAATTTGTAACCAATATAAGTCTCTGTGTTTACTTGGTTGGGTCTGAGCGTCTGTGGGACTGGCATGTGAGAGAGATTTGCCCTGACTGAGGGCCAGGCAGGAAAACTCTAGCTACAAATGGCGTCCAATGTGGTGGCAAGAGTTTCCACCTAAAACCTGAGAAAGGATTCTAAAACAGAGCTAAAAACAGCTTCCTAATTGTCTCTCTCAAATGAGCGGCAGTTGCCGGTTTGAGCTACTTGTGGGTTCCTAGCATATGCCCTGTGGAGGGAATGAGGCTTCTCCAAGTGGCACATTAAGCTACATGGTAGATTTAGACTTTGCTAGTACAAAAAAAAAAAAGAGGTTTCTGGGCTACATGCTGCTTGGATAAAAGCATAGACCCACGATAGCTCCCAGAGCTGGCGGTAAGGTACCACCCCCATGTTGGGAAGCTGAGGTGCGCAGAGCCAGCAGCCACAGCTGCTGCAGTTTAAAGCAATAGATTCACAATAAGACAGATTCAGATGTAATAGTTTACAATGTGTGTAAAAGATACATAGGCTTGAAAGAGACAAAAAGGTGTTATATATATAGTTATAAAAACAAATACATAGTTTTAAAAAACAAAGTCTTTAAAGAGACAGTAAAGTTAATATAAAAAATAAGCCAGGCGGTGGTGGCACACGCCTTTAATCCCAGCACTCGGGAGGCAGAGCCAGGCGGATCTCTGTGAGTTCGAGGCCAGCCTGGGCTACCAAGTGAGTTCCAGGAGAGGTGCAAAGCTAAACAGAGAAACCCTGTCTCGAAAAACCAAAAAAAAAAAAAAAAAATAAGAAAATAAGCCACGTGAAGATGAATATTACACAGAGAATCTGGATTGTGTTGTCTTTGGGATTTTTAACTGCAGAAAAACATTTGATTGTAAAAGCTGTTGAGTTATGCCAAAATGTATATTTTAAAGGTACCTTGACTTCAAAATTTGGATATAAGGATATGTTGCTTTGGAAAGGAGACTCTGCTTTTGTTCTCACAGAAAGCCAAAGGCTATGGATTTGTTCTAGATTAAGATACATCAGGTTTGACCAGCCAAGACCCCCTGAAAGGTCTCTGATGACACTATGGCCCAGATGATCCAACATCCAGAATGGTTTGAAGGCAACTGGCTCAGAAGATACAGCCTCACGGACTACTCCATGATCCTAAAATTTTCTTTGTGTCCCCATAAGATACAGTGCCCCCCTCCAGCAGGAAGTAGTAAGAGAAGCTATGCCCAAATTCCCAAAATATATGTAATTTTACTTTCTTAAGGTTAAAACCTTCCTTTTTGAAAAAAAAAAAAAAGAGGAAGTGCTGTGGGATGTTCTGTATGGCAAATGTGTTGCTGATTAGTCAATAAATAAAACACTGATAAACCATTGGCTAGGCAGGAAGTGTAGGCGGGACAAGGAGGAGAATAAAGCTGGGAAGTGGAAGGCTGAGTCAGAGACACACTGCCAGCCGCCACGATGACAAACAGCATGTGAAGATGCCGGTAAGCCATGAGCCATGTGGCAAGGTATAGATTAATGGAAATGGATTAATTTAAGTTGTAAGGACAGTTAGCAAGAAGCCTGCCACGGCCATACAGTTTGTAACCAATATAAGTCTCTGTGTTTACTTGGTTGGGTCTGAGCGTCTGTGGGACTGGCATGTGAGAGAGATTTGCCCTGACTGTGGGCCATGCAGGAAAACTCTAGCTACAGCTGATAGTGTCTTTGAAAGATCAGTAGCTGTTGTGCCCTGTTCTTGTACAATCTGGATGGCTGCTGACTGTTCCTTATAATATCTTCTAATATTTTTCTCAGAAAAATGTCTTAGTTTGTGGTTTGTTTCTGAGACTGGAAGAATGTTAATCTGGGTATTCTACTGTTGTAATAAATCACAGCCCTATAAATTCATAGCTATGTTAGCCACATACGCTTTTCATTTTCCTGTCTGTCTTTCTGACCCTATATATTTGACCCATCTTATGTTCTATTTCACTTGAGATAATGTTCCAATCCCTAACAGCTGAACATTTACCTCCTGAAGAGGCCAATCTGGATACCAAGATTCTGGTGCAATTATTGTTACATCCACACCTATGTCTACAAGACCCTCAATAAGAACATCATTTATGGCCGGGCGGTGGTGGCGCACGCCTTTGATCCCAGCACTCGGGAGGCAGAGCCATGTGGATCTCTGTGAGTTCGAGGCCAGTCTGGTCTCCAAAGCGAGTTCCAAAAAAGGCGCAAAGCTACAGAGAAACCCTGTCTCAAAAAAAAAAAAAAAAAAAAAAAACATCATTTATTCATATTTTTAATTTTTGGTCTTTGTTCATTTATAGAAGTTTGACAAAAAATTCACTTTATGGTTTTTCCTGAATTTTTTTGTTCTCTCTGCTGTAGCTCTTCTATCACCCCAAGCACTAGGATTTTTTACAATAAGCATTTGGATATTTAATTACTCTGGGAGGGGTTTTCTTCTACAAGGCAGGAAAGGACTGAACTGAATTTGCCATGTGGGCCTGCGAGAGGCCAGTCAAGAGGACCATCAAGGAGTTTCCCAATGGCAAAGGCGAAGGATGACCTTGTCTGTCCCTTATTGATCTACATCATTAGTCTACTGTTTGCCTTTACCACACCTTCTGCATAATCCAGAAGGGAGGGGCGTTCTGCTGCCATTGTTCCTTGAAGAAACATTTCTAGGAATGCCCTGTTTACAGTCCCTTTTTAGGTGACTTTGCTTATCATAATTAAAGTATCTGACATTTTTCTTCAGACCTCAGGAAGTCAACTCGCCTATCCATGTATCATCATCAGGAGATTCAATATTAATTGTATCTCTGATCCATTATTCCAAGGGTACTGATCTTGCCTTTAATGGCCTAATTATCCTTTTGCATGCTGCTTTGGCCTTTTAAAGAGCCAGAGATTCAATTATTATCTGTCTAGCTTCTGAATTTGGTATCATTCTATTTACTGCTGAAGACAGCCTTTGTAAGAAATCTGTGAAGGTTTGTTTTGGGTGCTGTATAACTCTTGTAAATGACTCAATTTTCTTTCCTGCTTCTTCAATTCTGTCCCAAACACTCAGGGCAGCCATTCAGCAGAAAATTAGGGTGTGGTCATCATATAAAGATTGTCTTTTTATTATCAGCATAATCACTGTGGTGAGCCACAAGGAAATGATACAGGGAGTCCAGCTGTATACGAAAGTATATACTTTGACCAACCCATGATCTGTCAAATGGGAAGTCATTTATCATGGAATATTTGGTGTTATATAGCTTTAATATTCAGCTGCGTCTTGCTATGAATTCCTTGTGCTCATAATTGTCGAACCTGTGTGTGTGAACCTCCGTCTCAGGCATATATGCTCAAAGTACTTGGATAAAGTCACATAGGCACAAATTTCTGCCTGAGCTCCTGACTCCCTTTTGTAGCATTTGAATTGGGTATATGTCTTTTGCAAATATTTCCTTTGAGCCACATCCAAAGATAGGGCCAGCCCCAAGCAAAGCATTGAAAGACAAGCAAGGAACAGAATGACTATCAGACCACCTGCTAGGTGCCTGAAGCCCCTGAACTAAGGTAAAATGTACATTCAGAGGCAACCTGGCTCCTAGATGTATAGCTTTGTTTCTTGTGCAAATAAGGCTCTGATTATCCCCTTCCATCAGGCCTAGAGGCGTGGCAGCCAGATTGAGGACAATAAGGTTTTTTCATAACCAGGCACACTAAGGACTGGAGCAGAATTCCACAACCACACACAGAAGAGAGGAACAGAGATTCTGTAGAGGGTAAAGCAGATCTCTTGTAGAGTTTATCAGGGCCAGGGTAAGGACCCAGGATGGATAGAGAGAGGTTGAAGGAACAGAGGATGAAGATGAAACCAAAAGCATAAGGGCTTAGTTATTACCAGGGTTATGAGGAGACAGAAAAGGTAGGGACATAGAGGAACGGAGACTCAGGACAGAACTGAAGCTGTATAGATAGAGTTTTGTCATAAAGTAAACAGACAAAAGAGCATAGTGTAACCATATAATTCAATGTTGAGATAGGTTCACATTTAAATTCTTCTGTCTGGGTCTGAATTTCTCTATGATTTGTTTAACAAGTTATTCTAAAACCTGTATCTTGGCACTCAAATTAAACAACCTTTTTAATGCTAAAATAAAAATGACCCAACAAATAATATTCATAATTGACATTATGTAAAACCCATCAACATTAATTATCCTCTTGTAAATTGTTCCATTTTCAGACTGCCTAATGTGTTGTCATAGACCAAATATCCCCCATTGTAAATATGTTTCACTTTTTTTTTTTTTTTTTTTTTTTTTGGTTTTTCAAGACAGGGTTTCTCTGTGTAGCTTTGCGCCTTTCCTGGAACTTACTTGGCAGTCCAGGCTGGCCTCGAACTCACAGAGATCCGCCTGCCTCTGCCTCCCGAGTGCTGGGATTAAAGGCGTGAGCCACCACCGCCCGGCTGTTTCCCATATTTTTAATGTGGATAAATTTCTCTTTTAACTAATTTCTCCCTTTAGGATATTTTAATTGACTCACCAAGTTTTCTGAGTTCATAGAACAGCAGACGTCCCAGGGAGTTTCAAGGTAGCTTACTTAGTCTTGTAGCAATTGGAGATGGGTATCCAGAGTAGGCCACCACCCAAAAGGAGAAAAGAAGTCAAGGAGACTCGGCTGTGTGTAGCTAAGGACTAAGCCAGGGGGCATTCAAGGGCATAAGCAGTTTATTAGTCAATTTGTGCCACGAACATTGGGCACCAATTGTAAGACAAATGGCTAAATAGTCTTAATTAAAAAAAAAAAAAAGAGCCATTTTTTGGGTCAAAAACCAAGAGATTAGGGAAGCAGGAAGAAGCTAGCCATGTTCTTACAACTAGAAATCTCAGCCAAAGAGAGAGCCATACTTCCTGTATATACACACATATATACTGTGCCTGCCATCTCACTTCCTCTATCAATCCAGCTACATCACTTCTTGTCTGTCTGTATAAACCTCTAGACCTCTATGGTTAACTAGTGTTGGAATTTAAAGGAATGTGCAGCCATGCCTGTCTCTGTTTCCAATTTGGCCTTGAACTCATAGAGACCCAGATGAATCTCTGCCTCCTGAATGCTAAGATTAGAGGCATGTGCTACCATTGCCTGGACTCTTGGTTTAATATAGTGACTGACTTTTTCCTCTGATTTTCAGATAAGCTTTATTGGGTTGCACAAATAAAGTATCTCCACAAGATTCGCAGGACATTTCAAACCCCAAGATATTAGATCCTGGGCCTTGTTCCATCGTTCCATGCTCAACTGGTAGCATTCCATGTCAAGGAAGATTCTGGATTCCAACCCTACCCCAGGAACATTCTGATCTTGTCATGTACCTCTGGCTACTAGCTGTGTGTCTCCAGACACATAGTTAGGCCTTTCTGTGCTCTGGCTTGCTCACTCACTAGTCCAGCCCTGTTCTCCAGGTACTTAAGCAGCCAAGACCAAGGGGCAGGAATCAAGGGCTACAGTGTGAGTTCTAGGACAGCCTAGGCAACTGAGACAGACTCTGTCTCAAAACACACACACAGTTTTGTTTTGTTTTTTAATTTTGTGTTTGTTGGCAGTTTTGGTTTGGTTTTGGGGCAGGGTCTCAGTGTGGCCCTCAGTGTATGAAGAACTGGCTACATCAATGCTTTCATATCAGATGGCTCTCCATGGATAGAATGGTTGCTTAGCACACACAAGACCTCTGCATAAACAACATCGTAGTGAAACCTGTCATGCTAGTAATGAGGTGGAAGCAGAAAGGTCTTAAGTTCAAGGTCAGCCTGAACTTTATCAGTGTCTTTTAAAAACAAATTAACAAAAAAATATCAGGGCTCAGTGAATATCGTGGCATGGTTCAACAGGTAAAGGTACTTGGAACCAAGACTGATGGACCTGGTGTGGTCCTCAGAACCTAAATGGTAGAAAGTAAGAACTGGGTAACACAGGCTTTTATCTCATTTCAAACTATACTATCCATGTGCACTCACAAAAACAAAAATCATAAATTGAAAATTAAAAGAAAAAGGGATGAGAGATGGTTTAGCAGTTTAGTACCTAGTGTGGACTGCACAGTGACCATTACTACTTGACAAAGGTCCAGCATTTTGACATTGCAGATTTTAATTATCCGGCATCATTTTATTTCAATTTTAATAATGCTCACTATATGTGATGAGGTCTCCTTATCTCTTTTACTGTAGGAATTTTTTTGTGATCTACAATGGAAGATGTGAATGTATACATAGGCAGTCCTTGAAACAAAATTCATGGACAAAATCCCCACCACCATGGAACCATATAACATGATAACTATGCCTACTCTCACACAAGAATCCCCATTGTATCCCCCTGAGTACACCAAAAATAGAGAACTTAATGATTTACTAACTGGGCATACCTGGTTCCAAGGATGAAAGCACACTGGAAGAAAACAATGGGCTCACATCCACAAAGGCATTTAGATACTTGCTGAATTTATCACTTTTGCCTCAGAAAAAATGCTGTGATGAGGTTGATAGCTGCTTTTAGCCTGGAATCATCAACTGTTTTTAACCTTGGTTTAGTCTAAACTGAGATTCAGTTATACACCATAAAGGGTATAGTCCTTTTTCAATAAAGCAGCAGCCATGCTGATTCACACTAAGATCATGGCGGTCTCCTTCCTTTGCTAATGCCCCATCTCCTCTTAGGGACCTGAACCCCTTTGGAGCTGGACTCGGAGGTACGTCTTGTAGACATTCAGTTTCCAGCACCCACATGGAAGATCACATCTGAAATTACCACATGATTACATCCATATGGTACTGTCCAGTATGAATTTTTTTATGACTGTGAAGATGGCTCTTCCGTGCAAAGGTTTTACCACATTCATGACATTCATAGGATTTCTCTCCAGTATGAATTATTTCATGTCTGTGAAGATTTCTCTTCTCTGTAAAGGCTTTACCACATTCATTACATTCATAGGGTTTCTCTCCAGAATGAATTCTTTCATGACTGTGAAGATAACTCTTCTCTGCAAAGGCTTTACCACATTGATTACATTCATAGGGTTTCTCTCCAGTATGAATTCTTTCATGACTGAGAAGATGACTCTTCTGTGCAAAGGCTTTACCACATTGTTTACATTCATAGGGTTTCTCTCCAGTATGAACACTTGCATGAGTATGAAGATGACTCTTCTGTGCAAAGGTTTTACCACATTCATTACATTCATAGGGTTTCTCTCCAGTATGAATTATTTCATGTGTGTGAAGATTTTTTTTCAGAGCAAAGGCTTTACCACATTGATTACATTCATAGGGTTTCTCTCCAGTATGAATTATTTTATGTGTGTGAAGATTTCTCTTCTCTGCAAAGGCTTTACCACATTGACTACATTCATAGGGTTTCTCTCCAGTATGTATTCTTACATGATTGAGAAGATTTCTCTTCTGTGCAAAGGCTTTACCACATTGATTACATTCATAGGGTTTCTCACCAGTATGAATTCTTTCATGACTGTGAAGATGACTCCACTGTGCAAAGGCTTTACCACATTGATTACATTCATAGGGTTTCTCACCATTATGAATTCTTTCATGACTGTGAAGATAACTCTTCTCTGCAAAAGCTTTACCACATTGATTACATTCATAGGGTTTCCCTCCATTATGAATTCTTTCATGACTTTGAAGACTAACCTTCTGTGCAAAGGCTTTACCACATTGAATACATTCATAGGGTTTCTCTCCAGTATGAAGACTTTTATGTCTATGAAGATTACTTGTCTGTGCAAAGGTTTTACCACACTGATTACATTCATAGGGTTTCTCACCATTATGAATTCTTTCATGACTGAGAAGATGACTCTTCAATGCAAAGGCTTTACCACATTGATTACATCCATAGGGTTTCTCTCCAGTATGAACTCTTTCATGACTGAGAAGAAGACTCTTGTATACAAAGCGTTTGCCACATTGATTACATTCATAGGGTTTCTCTCCAGTATGAGTTTTTAAGTGAGTGAGAAGACGACTATTATATGGAAAGGCTTTACCACATTGATTACATGCATAAAGTTTCTCTCCATTATGAATTCTTTCATGACTGAGAAGATAACTCTTTTGTGCAAAAGCTTTACCACATTCATGACATTCATAGGGTTTCTCTCCAGTATGAATTCTTTCATGACTGAGAAGACTACTCTTCCCTCTAAAGGCTTTACCACACTGACTGCATTTATAGGGTTTCTCTCCAGTATGAAACCTTACATGACTATGAAGGCTTCTGTTCTCTGCAAAGGCTTTACCACATTGATTACATTTATAGGGTTTCTCTCCAGTGTAACTTCTATTATATATTATGGGACATGCAAAGGCTTTATCACATTGCTGAGATTCATACCTTTTCTCCCTAGTTTGAATTCTATGTACTTGATGAAGACTGTGACATGCAAAGTCTTTATATCTTTGATTATAATCACAGGGTTTTCCTTCCAAATGAGTTCTTTGGTGTTTTAACGACCAATCACATTTAAAGACTTTATCACATTGATTATATTCATATACATTCTCTTCATTATTGGGTGTTTGGTGTGTTTGAAGATGCCTGTAATGGCTAAAGCCTTTGGTAGATGACTCACATTTATTATTTTCTCTTAACATATGAGTTTTTTCACATCCTTGAAGAGAACTTGAAGAACTCAGAGTTGGACCACACTGATTGTATTTATAACATTTTCTTATACTTAGATCCACACTATATATACACAGTGAACCAGAAGAGAGAGATGAATTTCCATATTCCTGGTACTCATAAGGTTTTTCTCCAATGGAAGTTTGTTGAATTCCCACTGAAGTTGGAAAACCAGTTAATTGTAAACTTGTATCACAGTCATTATGTCTTCTCATAGTGGGGACTACCATATATCTTCCACTTGTTCTGAGAGAGACAGAACTACAATGCTTCTTTCCATATCCCTTATGCTCACATGGATTGTGTCCAGAGGGACAGATGACACACCTGCTAAAGGAAGATAACAAATAAAGGGTTTTCACATTGCATTCCCATAGTCAAATGTTTTGTTTGTCATACAGATGTGGAATAGAGATTCATGTTTCTACATCTCCAAGTCACTCATAAAGTGCTCCTCTCATTAAACTATGTTAAATCACTCACTACATGAAAATGAAGAACACTAGCTTTAATAAGGAAGCTTTACTTATAAAAGGTCTTAGACATACCCAATCTCCTCATCATTGTGTATACCTTATATGATAAATGGAAGGCATGACAGTAAGTGGATGGACAGTCCTCACACATGGCTAAGATTGAACCTGTCACATCTGTTGTGGCATGTTTCCTTGTCTTGTCCTTAAATGTGTTGGTGGAAATGTGTGAATGGTGTGGCCACACATGTGTGTTTCTGACAGGTTTTGAATGCCTGAGTTTATATGTCCTGAATGTGTCTTGCTAATTGGATGTTTTAAAACCTATAAGGCTTGTGACTCCAGATTGAAACTGTGCTGGAGAGCATCACGTGGTCTACCACTACTCTAATTACAGGCAGCAAGCCACCTGGGCAGGTGCAATTTTGGATAAGGTCAGAGAGAGAGGTGAACGACTTCCATCTTTAGGAATGACCGCCATCTTTAGGAAGGGTGACCAGGTAGCCAGCCGCCATTTTGATTGAGGTTAAAGATACTTCACTACCATCTTTAGTAAGGGTAACTACTTGGACTGGGTCCACCAAGGAGACATTACGTCTCCAACAGAATTGGGTTAGGATATATTTCTGTTTGATAATTCCTGTGGTTAGGATACATTTCTGTTTGATAATTCCTGTCCTGTTCCTGTCTGTTCTCTCTGTTCCTGTCTGCTCTAACACCCTGAACTACTACATAAATGTCTCCAGTCAGTTTGTTCTGTTTGGTCCCTCCTCCTTTCGTCCTTCCCACCAGAGCTATCTCCACCTTCACAGTCACCACCACCATCACCGCCACCTGTCCTGGCCTAAAAACAAGTTTTATGAAAACAGTTTTAAAACAATGCTGGTTTTGACAATTGATATTGAAACTAAATTGTTTGCAACTTTAAAACTTAGTTTTGTCCTGTATATCTTAGAATCATCGCTAAAAACTACAGACTGAATCTTCTTGCTCTTACTAACATTGGTAAGCTGTAACTAATTAGGTAAACTCTATGTCCAGACGTAACTTACATATGCCTTCAAATTTAAGCCTAAACAGCATTTGTCTAATTTAGATGTACCTAACATTCTCAAACACCCTTAGAGATCTGAGAATATGGCATTTAATATAAAATCTTTTTATGACAGACATGCCAACTCCTGGAAGCATCCTGTATCTTCTCCAAGAAGATGGAGGGCCACAGAAGAACATCCACCTGGAGGCTTGCTTCAAATGTAACAAATCCAGCCACACAGCAAAAAGCTGCTTTACACCTTTAACTGCTGCTGAGATCATGTCCAGATTGTGAATAAGCGGAGCAATGGGGGAACATTTGTGTCACTCTGCTAAGACAGGTAGGCCGATCTCCCAAATTTCTACTCCACAGAAAATCTGTCAGATCCTCTGGACTTGGCATCTGAACAAGTGCTACCTCTGGGACTTGTCCCCCAGTGACCACAGAGAGACTGGGGACTGCCTGGGTAAATGAAAAGCTCGCTCACTCCTGCTCATTTACTTATCCTTCTCAGATCTGATGGTGTTGATGACCAGGGTACTAAGAGATTTGCCAGTTTAACAGCACCCTCAATCCCAAGGCTACAAGCACCTTAGTAGTTCATTAGTAAGTTTCCTATAAAAAATACAGACAGGTATGCTTCATTCACAGACTCCATGGTACAGGATAAACTGTTTCAGATATAACTTCAGAAGTTCAAAGTTTTAGCTTTGATAAATGCAGTTTTGATAAACTGACAGAGCCCTGATTACTAACAGTCTTCAGGGTTCCTTGAATTTCGGTGGATTTTACTGGTCCAGCTTTTAGAGATAGGTTAGCATTAGAGAGGATATAGAACCCTGCAGGCATGTTCAACTCCCTCCTCCTTCACTCACCCAACCTCCACTGTCAGTGAATTTAGACTTAAAGCTGTTCATGCCTTAACCCAAGGCCATAAATCTTTACCATGACACCAAGATATAAATCTGTTCCAGTAGTTTTAAATACACCTGAAGGTTCCTGGGAAAAGGGTTCTGATGCTTTGTAAAGAAGTCTGGCCTGATGGAAACTAATATTACTTTCCAGAGGCTAATTTGACCGCACCCACTTTTGAGCATATTCTGTAGGTTCACTCTTCCTGCCTGGGCCAAGGCCAAACCCTTAGGGGCCCTCCACATACACCAGCCCTGCAACAGCTCCAAAGATGCAAACCAATCAAGGGCACCAACTGGGGGAATAATAACAGGTGGATTTCACCCAACTGCCCACTCATAAAAAGATCCATATCTCTTAACTCTTATGACACATTCACAGGATGGATGTTCTCCAAACCTCCAGGGAAACAGCAGATGCTATGGCTCCAGTTCTCCTGGAATACATCATCCCTAGATTTGCCATGCCATCTCCCCAAGCTCCTATGACTTCACTGCTGATATCACCTCTCTAGGCACAAGTGGGCAACTAACCAGCAACTGAAACCTAGATTTCCAAGATGTCCCAAATAAGGGCATATCTACCTTCATGCCTCGTTCATTTACCCTTTGTACAACCAGGACACTTCTCAGTTCCATTCTTTCTGGCAGTCTTCCTACTACCAATGGGTAGCCCCATTCAGAGGGACGGTGATAATAATCTATTTTTTTCTCCTAGCACCCTGCATTCTGTCTCCTCAAGAACAGATTCCTGTGCCTAGAGGTGGTGGCACACACCTTTAATCCCAGCACTCAGGGGGCAGAGGCAGGCAGACCTCAGTGAATTCAAGGCCAGCCTGGCTACACAGTGAGTTCCCAGAAAGGTACCAAAGCTACACAGAGAAACCATGTCTGGAAAAAAAAAAAAAAAAAAGAACAGGTTCCTGAGGTCTCCTGGATGGCAGCTATCCAAATGCTGCTCCACCCATAACCCCTACTGATCATGGGCCCACCCACTCCCTCCCCACATCATTCCATGCCAGCAGGAAATAGAGACTTGAACCTGCACCCATATAGACCCAAAAAGGTTGGGAGTTTGGAATCTCCAGTTCAGGGAGCCCCATTCCACAAAGCCCACTACTAGCGGCTCCTCCCCCTAGGGATGTCTGGGACGATGCCCATGCCTACTGGCTATATAAGACCTGGCCCATAGATCTGCCATGGGTACTCTCCTATTCTGTCTCATGCCTTCCTGAGAGACCCTGGAGTGCTTTGCTTTGCTATGCTCTGTTTATTAAATCTGGATTTATTAATTTGGTTTGATTTGACTTATTGCATCAGTGATGGAAGAAGCCAGCAACCGGGAATCTGATATTTATCACAGACATACATATATACAAGCTTGCACATGAAAATTACCTTTCAATTCTTCTACAGCACTGACAATGTTCTTCAATATTATGGTCTTCCCATTTGTAACCTAAAATACAGTACCAGAAAATGTATGTGATATATTACTGGAAATTAGGCACACTTGAAATTACTATCTTTCATGAAACTTACTACCATGCCTGATTTATTCACCAGATTCTCCCCCTTTCATATGTGAAATCACAGAAGAGCACCAATCCAAAGAAAAAAGCTTGTCCCCTTAAGCTAAAAAGTGACAGAAAGCTCACATTCTTACCTATAGAAGTGAGGTTCCAGTAGGTTTCCAGCATCACATCTTTGTAGAGACTCTTCTGGGAAGAATCCAGCAAAGCCCACTCTTCATGAGTGAAGTTCACATGCACATCCTCATAGGTCACTGCATCCTAAAATATCCCATATATATGTTCTTAATTGAAATGATGAGACTGAATTGCAAATGTACACTTCATTGAGAATATATTTATATAATTCTGTGTGCTCAAAAAATTCAATGACATTGGTGAGTAAATATCAAATGCAGTCACCAACTCATTTTAAAAGGAAACATCAAAAGAGAATGACACCTTCCATTCCAGTGCCTAAAGAATAGAATACGGGGCCGGGCGGTGGTGGCGCACGCCTTTGATCCCAGCAATGGGGAGGCAGAGCCAGGCAGATCTCTGTGAGTTCGAGGCCAGCCTGGTTTACAGAGTGAGATCAAGGACAGGTACCAAAACTACAGAGAGAAACCCTGTCTTGAAAAAACGAAAAAACAAACAAACAAAAAAAAAATTACAGATAAGGCATAAAGTACTAAGCCAATGCTGTTTAAATTTCCAGAGATATCAGTCACTCAATGTGTGTAAGATGTCTCTTCTCTTGAATGTCTAATTAAGTTTAAATGAAGGTTTAATTTTCACAGTAAGTGAATTCAAGAACAAATTTATGATTTTAAACTATATTATTGGGTATGCTCTTGTCTGTTACTGCGGATTTGGCTCTGTTCTTCAAGTTGCTCTCTGGAAATTCTTGGTTAAATTCTATAAAAAATAGTAACAAAACAGGTTACATCCTGAAACAGAGCAGGTTGTTAGCTTATTAGATAGTGTGGTTGTGAAGGCCTAGACTTAACTCTACATGCTCAGGAATATGCCATGATAACTCAAATGGAGATAGAGCACTATCCTCCTGAAGAAATCCTGAGAGCTATAACATAATTCAACCTATGGGATAATTACAGTCTGAAATTACTTTATCTATTCAAGTAATATGTAATTTGTTTCAAATTTTACAAAGTGACTCAGATTTAAACAATCCAAGACAATTAACAGCTAAAGCTGAAAATAACAATGGCCCAAGTAAAACAAAAATTACTAAATGCCTTTCTGGATTAGTAGATCTCACAACTGAATGTATTTTAGTAATTTTACCTTCCACTCACTCCCCTAGTGGACTCATTATGCAAAGGGAAGATACTATTTTTAAACTGAATCTTCCTAGCTCACAAACAGAGTAAAATGTTAAAAATCTGTATAGAAAAGGTTTCTAAATTAATTATAAGGGAAGTAATAAGACTTCATAAGTGCTGAGAAATGAATCCAGCTGAGAGTGCTGTAACCTATTCTAATGCTGAAGTTATACAATTATGGATGACCAATGATGATTGACAAAGAGTTTGTAGTAATTTCTTAGGCAAAATTAACAACAAATGTCCGAAAAGTAAGTGACCTCAGTTATAAACAAACAAACAAGCAAAAAAAACCTGAATGGATTCCTCTTTGCATAGTGAAAGAGCACTATTTCTGGGGCTTTTACACTTTATACTGACACACATAAATTAGGACTGGCAAGTTATAAAGCAGGAAAGATCAGTAAAAAATTCAAAGTCCATATGCTTCAGTTCAGAAATCAGAATTATATGCCATTCTGATGGTTTTATAAGACTTTATGAATCTCTTAATATACTTACTAATTCTCTATATGCAGAAAGGGTTGTATTGCATACAGAAACTGCTAAACTTATTGCTGATAATTCAGAACTGACTTTGCTATTCTTGCAACTACAACAGTCAATCCGAGTCAGATATTATCCACCATATATCACTCATATTCGGTCTCATACTGGGTTGCTAGACAATTAGAAAAGGAAATTTAAAAATTGATCAACTACTGATAGGAAATGTGTTGGAAGCTTCTGAACTTCATTTAAAAAAAAAAAAAAAACGCTAATAGCCAAGGCTTAAAGACAACAATTTTCCATTACCTAGCAACAAGATAAGGAAATTAATTTAAAAAAACAAAACTGTCCGACATGTTCTTTCTATAATCAATTCTATTACCTGAGGGAACTAATCTTAAAGGTATACACACACAAATAATAATAATAATAATAATAATAATAATAATAATAATAATAATAATAAAATGGACAAATGATGTATTTCACTTAACAGAATTTACAAACTTCAAATTTATTCATCATACCATTGATACATACTCTAGATTTCAATGGACATCTATTTACCTTAAGTTCTGAAAAGGCTGATTCTATAATTACACATTTATTAGAAACAATGGCTGTAATGGACATATTAAACAAATTAAAACTGATAATGCCCAACTTATGTTTCCAGTAAAATAAAACAGTTTTTTTTCTGACACAACATAAAACACATTACAAGGTTACTACATAATCCTACAGGTCAAGCAATTGTTAAAAGATGTAATCACACACTAAAGGAGATGCTTTTTAAACAGAAGGAGGATATGAGGACCCCCAGAGATAGACTGCATAATGCCTTTTAACTTTAAATTTTTAAACTAATGACACAGAGACAACAGCAGCTGAAAGACGGGGGCTTTGGAGGTGGCAATGCTGAAGATGTTTCAACATCAAAATGAAAACCAGGGAAAGTGTTACAATGGGGTCAAACTTATGTTTTTACAGGAGACAAAAGGTTGTGGATCCAGTCAAAATTGAGTAAGTCCAGCATGAGCAAGACGAATTTCTCAGACACTTTGGCTGCTGAGATGAATGACATACCTCTGGGGGGAAAATAGACTAAAAAAGCCTTTGAAGGGGATGGCTGAGCCTCCCACCTGCGCACAGCTTAAGAATTTGTGTGACTGCGGGGTGGTGGTGGCCCACTCCTTTAATCCCAGCAACGGGAGGCAGAGGCAGCCAGATCTCTGTGAGTTCGAGTCCAGCCTGGGATACAGAGTGAGTTCCAGGACAGGCTCCAAAGCTACACAGAGAAACCATGTCTCTGAAAAAAAGAAAAAAAAAACCACAAAGAATTTGTGTGACAAAGAGAAGGCATTAGTTTCACTGGCTCAGAAACCTCAGGATGCTACAAACCTGTTCCTTGCTATGCTATCTGTGATAACTATACAGGTATCAGGGCCAACTATACATATTGGGCCTATGTTCCTAATCCTCCAAATAACTTAGCAGTAAGTTGGGAGATGTGCATATTCCTGTGATGGTTAATGAATCTTCTTGGCTACCTGGTCCTTATGACAAACAAGGTCCTGCTCAGCTTACAGAGGAGAATAAAGAAATTAGGAATTATACTGTGGGGGTGCAAGGAATTCCTATTTGTATAGGAAATGGAAGTCAATGTGTAAATATAACCTTTCAAGTTACCTGTACAATGGCACCCTAATAATTACAGCATCACTTGTGAACACTGTACCCTTCATACCTGTGTTAATTCTAGTATGTCTTTAGATGTAACCTCTGAACGTTTATACATTCTTTTTTTTTTTTTTTTTTTTTTTTTGGTTTTTAGAGACAGGGTTTCTCTGTGTAGCTTTGCGCCTTTCCTGGAACTCACTTGGTAGCCCAGGCTGGCCTCGAACTCACAGAGATCCGCCTGGCTCTGCCTCCCGAGTGCTGGGATTAAAGGCGTGCGCCACCACCGCCCGGCCTCGTTTATACATTCTTAGAGCAAGGCCAGCAAATGGATGCCAGTGAAGTCATAAAGGCCACGGCAAAACTCACCTGTAATGACCATAGTGCAGCAAGCTCACTGAAAGAATATTAAGAAAAACACATTGAATGCTTAGACTGATTATTGCAGTAGGTATGGGCATTGTTGCATTGGCTGCTACTGATGCTACAGCAGCTGGATTGGCCCTTCATAAAGAAAGCCAAACTGCTGAGTTCATTAGAGACAGGCACAAGCATTCTACAGAACTTTGGACTCAATAAAATAAAACAGTGAAATAGTTAATGGAATAGCTGATGTGAGACAAACTGTTATACTGTTGGGGAATTGGCAGTAGCCATGTCAGAGGAGCAGCAGATGGCAACTGATTTCAGGGGATCGGCCCACCAGGATATAAAACTCTGATGGGTGAATCTCACATATGCAAGGCCCCGAGAGCCTCAGCCCCAGGATGTTTCTTTCCACTGCTGTGTCTTTGTATGGTTGCCACTGCCATTTTTCTCTGGAATCTGGCATGGTGTGCATGGGTGTGGGGGTCCCCAACGCCCTTAATGTAGTATGATCATTCTTGGAAATATTCTGTTGTACTGGGCATTTTTACCTGTGGATTATTATGAAGATGACTTCCTCCTAAGCTGTACTGTTTAACTGAAGCAATGATTTTATACAACAATAGTGTTAGTTTAAATGGGATTTTGATGATTGACGGTCTTTAATAAATATACTAAGGGATTATGATGGAGGTTAGTTTAGTGGAAAAATTAACACAGGTAAAGATAGGATAAAATGCTGCCTCTGCCTCTGGGAAAGCAGAGGCTGTAGAGGATAAAAAAAATGAAACAAGGAAGTGTCACACTGATAGAACACATGAGTTTCTATTAAGGAGCATACAGACTATGGCTTAGGTTAATGATTAAGAAAAAACAATTGAGTCAGGATCATCTCATTAGAAAGGGCCTTTGACAAAAATCCAACACCCCTTCATAATAAAAGTCCTGCAGAGATAACGGATACAAAGAACATACCTAAACAAAATAAAGGCAATTTCCAGCAAGCCTATAGCCATCATCAAATTAAATGGTGAGAAACTCAAAGTTATTCACCTAAAATCAGGAACAAGACAATGCTGCCTGCTCTCACCATGTCTATTCAATATAGATCTGGAATTCATAGCTAAAGCAATAAGACAACTGAAGGAGATCTAGGGGATACAAATTGGAAAGAAAGAAGTCAAAGAATATTTATTTGTAGATGATGTGATAGTGTATGTAAGTGGCCCAAAATATTCCACAGAGGAACTCCTACGGCTGATAAACACTTTCAGCAAAGTGGTCTGATATACAATTATCTCACAAAAATAAACAGCTCTCCATTGTACAAATGACAAAGGAACTAAGAAAGAAAACGGGAAGGACACCTTTCAAAACTGCCTCGAATTATATAAAATATCTTGGGGTAACTGAAACGAAGCAAGTGAAAGGCTTGTATCATAAAACTTCAAGCCTTTGAAGAAAGAACCTGAAGAAGATATGAAAAGATGGGAACATCACCCACACTCAAAGATCGATAGGATTAACATAGTAAAAATGGCAATCCTACCAAAAGCAATCTGCACACTCAATGCAGTCCCCATCAAAATCCCAACACAATCTTTACAGACCTCAAAAGGACAATCCTCAACTTCAGATAGAAAAAAAAAAACACCCAGCATAGCTAAAGCAATTCTGAACAATAAAAGAACTTCTGGAGGTTTCACCATTCTACACTGCTGTACTACAGAGGTATAGTGATAAAAACCACATGGGACTGGCATAAAAACCGACGCATCCATCAGAGAAATAAAAATGAAGACCCAGACATGAATCTACACTCCTATGGACACCTGGGTTTTGATAAAGAAGCCAGAAATACACACTGGAAAACAGCATGTTCAACAAATGGTGCTGGTCAAACTGGATGTCTGCATGTAGAAGAATGCAAATAGGGCTGGAGAGATGGCTCAGAGGTTAAGAACACTGGCTATTCTTCCAGAGGTCTTGAGTTCAATTCCCAGCACCCATATGGTGGCTCACAACCATCTGTAATAAGATCTGGAACCCTCTTTTGGACTGCAGGGATACATGCAAACAGAACATTGTATACATTATAAATAAATAAATATGAAGAAGAAGGAGGAGGAGGAGGAGGAGGAGGAGGAGGAGGAGAAGAAGAAGAAGAAGAAGAAGAAGAAGAAGAAGAAGAAGAAGAAGAAGAAGAAGAAGAAGAATATATCTATACTCATCATCCTGCACAGAACTCGGGTCCACATTTATAGAAGACTGTATGGGAGTTGAGGATTTAGCTCAGTGGTTAAGCGCTTGCCTAGCAAGCTCAAGGCCATGGGTTCAATCCTCAGCTCAAAAAAAAAGAGAGAGAGACTGTAGGACCATTCCGTGTGTGAAATGTTAGCTGCTGAGTGCTCTATGCTCATACACAAGCCACAGCCAAATGCCCAGTGTCTTAATCCTCTCACCTGATTGAAGTGAGACAAACAGATTTACAGTTACCACCATGAGAGAGTTGTTCAATCAGAAATTTGAGTGGCTCAGGCTAACCTCCCCAAACTGTACACCCACCAATTTGGTTTTCCTTCATTCACATGGTATGAATTAATGCATACTGGGAAACTACACAGAAAGGCACTCACCTGCCCAATCATGTCCTTTTTCATAACAGAGACACCTGCAGCTCACTGACTTAAACAATATCCAATCCAGCTATGGCCTAGTCTGTTTCCCCCTGTGGTATACACAATAAACTACTCCTTCTATTCTGGTCTCAATGGAGAAGCCATGCTCCACACACAAATCCTATTCCTGTTAGTGCAATGGACACCCATGACTCCAATGGGTAGTTTTAGAAGTGTGTGCTACTTGCAGGGTGGTGGTGGCACATGCCTTTAATCTCAGCACTCAAGAGGCACAGGCAGGTGAATCTCTGTGAGTTCGAGGCCAGCCTGGTCTACATTGTGAGTTCCAGAACAGCCCAGGCTACATAGAGAAACTCTAAGGAAAAAAAAAAAAGAAAACAAAGTGTGTGCTGCTGCAAACCTTTAATGAAGAATTGAAGAGGCTGAGGCCCGTGGACAGCAGCATCATTGCCCTGTGGGCCTAAACACTGGGACCAAGGCAAAGAGAGTCAACATAACAAACCTTGTCTTAAAATATTGTTCTGAAAGCTGGAAGGTGTAACTGTTTTGGAATTAATGTGCCTTCCCAATGAGAAACCATACCACACCCTTAGAGATTAATTGAGAAAACTCTCCTTAGGACTAGAAAGTCTCCAGCTCTACCTAACACACAAAGAGCAGCTGGCCAAAAGCAGATTTGCCAACTTGTATATACAATAGGCTTATGCACTCCGCATATGCTCTCAACCTGGAGAAATGCTGATTACTGCCCTCCTGCTAACATGGCTTGCTCAATGTGATTCCTTATAAAACTCAGGACCACCTGCCCAGGGTGGCACCAACCACAGTGGGATGGGCCCTATTACCTCAACCACTAATCAAGAAAATACCCTACAGACCAGTGTGACTCTACCTTGTGTCAAGCTGACCAAAGCTAACCAGCATACATACTGAGTCATCTCACAGCCCCCAAAGACAGATTGTTAAGCAAACCTCAACTCTCTTAACACTTGCTTTTCAGCATATACTTGTGCATGCATACACATAAAGTTTTGAAAATCTGTCAAGTTTAGGGCTGGAGAGATGGCTCAGCAGTTACCATCACTTACTGCTCTTGTAGAAGTCCTGGGTTTGGTCCCAGCACTAACCTGGTGGCACACAATCATCACTAAAACCTCTTGCAGAGGATCTGATGCCCCTACTACCTTCTGTGGGCACCAAACACACACACAATGAACATACATTTATGCAAGCAAACCAGTCACACACATAGAATAAAATAAATAAACAGCGCTAATTAAAAACACACACCCGTGCCGGGAGCAGTGGCACACACCATTAATCCCAGAGGCAGAGGCAGGTGCATCTCTGGGTTCGAGATCAGCCCGGTCTACACAAAGTTCTAAGACAACCAAGGTTACACAGAGAAACCCCATCTTGAAAAATTAAATAAATAAAAACCATACCCACATCACTTTTATGTCACCATGGATAAAACAGCCAGAAATACATTGAAATGTGACTAATATCTGTAGGCAAAGCTATAAATTTGTAATAAAAAGAATCAACGAACTAAATAAAAGGAGAGAAATTCCAGGATTGCGGACAGGAAGCCTCAATATTATTTCAGTACAAAATTGAGCTACAGATTCAGCAAAAGTACAGTTAAAAAGTCCAACAATTTTTCATACCAACAACAGAAAATCATCATGAATGAAAAAATGATCAACATAAGATTAGGTAAATAAACGGCACACACTCTGACACCATCTGAATTTAAAACTTCTCATACAGCTGCAATGAAGACTGTACTGTCTGGGAAAGAATTAAGAGATCATCAGAACAGGGGAGCAAACTTAGAAATGAAAACACAATTAATATGGAGTTAATTGTGACACAGGAGGCCAGGAAAACCAGTAAGTCTGGCCTTACTGACACATGTGACTGGACCACCCTGTCATCTACATGCAAATGTGTTAATGACACAGAATTTACACCCTGCACAGAATTAACTGCAAACAGATCTACCTACACCTGAATGTTCAGTGACAAGTGCAGAACTTCTAGAAGACACTAGAGACACCAGGGCTCTGAGAATTAGTAAATCTGCCTTCGGTGGAGACAGTAAAAACAGCGCATACACGCGCCCTGCACCATAACGTTGACAACAAGGATGTTTCCACACAAGGTTTCCCGCCTCCCATGCTCTGCGCCTGCGCACCCGGGGGAGCCGCGTAATTACTTGGTCGGCCGGTTCCCGCCCAGCTCCCGGAAGTGGCATGGCCCTTATGTGACCTCACTGTGTTGGGCGGCTGTTTCCCACAGCCCTAGGAGGACCCCACACCTGTTCCCAAGGCTCCTCCCCTCATGGGGACGGCGGCCCCTCGCTCACCATGGCGGATTCCCAGCTCGCCGGGCTCTCCTCACAGCTCCCGGCAGCGGGTCACAGCCCAGCACACAGAACACCAGGGTCTCCCTTCCCCAAACTCGGGAGCCTTCGCCAAGGGGGAACGGAAGTACCCGCCCACATTCTGACTGGAAGTCCATCTGGAGGCCATAATTGGCTAGTGATTCCTGAGTGACAGGGGAAGTTCCTTTAGAGAAAGAGTGCAGTGAAAAGATGCAGCTCTGTAGTTCCTAACCGTCCCAGACCTCCAGAGATTGGCATTGAAGCAGAAACTTGCACCTATACTGAAGAGTCGTCCCTGAACTTGTCGCTCACGCAGTAGACAATTCTCCATCTGGCCACCGGGTCTCTCTAGCATATGAAGATCATTAAACAATGTGCAGTGGAGTGATCCCCCTCCCTCACAGCTGAAATGGTACCCAGTCCACCCAGTTCAAATATAAACCACCTGATTGACATTCACCAGGCACCAGCAATTTCAATAAGGCACACCCACGACTGCTCACACCTCTCTCAGCTGCACCTTGCCATCCAAACACTAACACTTTCCCAGCTTTCTATGGTGGCACTGGCCTATCATGCCAGCACTTGGGAGGTGGATACAGGAAGGACATCAAAAGGTTAAACCAGCTTGTGACCTGAAACACCAGCAATTAGGGGCCCCAAAGGGGAGGTGTTCAGGGTGACAACCTGGAATGAGAAGATAGAAAGTTATGGAGCAGTACATATTGCATAAACTGATGGCTCATGCTAAGCAAGTTTATTAAGTACAGCTCTCACACACCATTTGAGAGGGGGCAGGGCAAGAAGAACACAGGCGACCTCAGGCTGAGCACCTGGTGGCCTAGGGACTGATAGCCACACCCCCTCAGGCTAAAGAGTCTGGAACCCTTGATTCCTTCAGCACAGTGGCTCAAATACCACAACAGACTGTCCTTAGGCCTAAGGTCTGTCGTTAGGCCAATACACAGAACTAGTGCTTTCTTAGATGATTTCATCAGGGCCCCAGAAAAAGACTTGGATGGAGTGACTCCCAAAGGGCCCACCTCCAACCTCAACAAACAAAAACACATATGAAAATGGAAACTTGTTTTTGTGGAGGAGTTTTACCCTGTGTCCTGCCTGCAGGCCTTCCACTGAAGTTTCCTGCAAGCCACACTAACGCTTGAATGGCAAGTTCTGCTGCACGCTGCAGGAAAACATAATGGAATTCAGCTACTATTACAAAAGCTACTACTTTGAAAAATCAAGGCCTTCTCCAAAGATCAAGCCATGGCTTAAGAAGTCTTGGTGATATTTTAGCTTTCATATATATATGTATTAGTCGGTTCCTAAAATGATTTACTTTTGTGCTTCTGAAGAACTCCTAACACTGTATTTATCTAAAATGAATATCAATCATCCAAGGCCGAATGAAACTACACCTGTCTTTTAGGTCAGGCAGATAGCTTTATTTCTTATACAATTTAGGGTGAGACCCTCCTTTCTTATACAACCTTACTAATAGACCCCTAACTTCTTACCTAACCACTTCTAGGAATGTGAACTAAGCAAGTAGATCCCCTTTGGGATATACTAACAGTCATTAGCACTCAGTTGACCTCCTCTTTTACCACTCCCATTTTGGGTTGTAAAAGAAAGCCTGGTGGTCACTGCCTGAGAAAATTCTTACCTGCCTTGATGACCCCCTAGAATTCAAGCCTGGTGACCTTGCTCGACCAAGGGATTGCTGTGGCTTGGGTTTATACCTGGATTCCTGGGAGACTTAGGGGGGACGTGGAGAACTGAGAGACAGAGAACAGAGGGATAAGGAGGATTTTGACAGAGAGAACATGCGGATGAGATGGAAGCTGCAGAAGAGTCAGATGGGGGAGTACTAGCTGGGTAAGAATGAGAAGAAAAGGACCTAGATGAGGCAGAATTAAGATGAGAGAATTAAGATAGAACTTCGAGGGAGCAATAGATGAATATAGAGAGAAATCTGGCAAGAAAGGAGCTAAAAGAAAACAGAAGCTTGTAGAGAGAGAATTGACACAGAATAATAAAGTGTATGAACTAAGGAGTTTCACGTACATAGATTCATTTCTTTTCATCAAAGATGAATTATCAGCTGGTTGTAGATTCTTTCGGGAATCTGGGAGGGGACTATTAAGGGTCTGGACCCCATTAGTTCTCAATAATGTTCAATCTGGCATATGATAGGATTTATGGATCACATAATCTAGTTTCCCAAGACTACTCATTTGTACCTCAACTTGGAAAATAACAGGTGGAGTCACATGCTAATGCTGATTACAGAATGGCTGCATGTTGGGAGCACAGAGGTGTCGCAGGCTTTCTTTTGAGCCAACAACCAGCTCCACATCATGACACAGAGACTTATTAGTTATGAACGCTTGGCCTTATTTTATGCTTGTCCCACTCGCTCTTGTGACTTCACTTAAGCTGTCAGAGCTTTTTACCTTTCATTCTGTATGCCCTATTTTCACTCTTCCTCGGTGGCTGGCAGGCTGGTGGCTGGCTGACTGGCCCTAGGTGTCTCCTTCTCTTTCTCCCTCCTTGCTTCTCGCTCTTCTCTCATTCTCTCAGCTCTGCCTGTGTCCCGGACCATCTGACCTCAGGGATGAGGATGTACAGTGCATTCTCAGCCAGATCCTGCAGAGGCAGCAGATGCAGGCTCAGGGCCTCTGAGGACACAGCTCAGCCGTCGAGTCGAATGCTTCACTTCTGCAGATCAAAGCCTCAGGGACAACCTTCCCAGACCTGAGGGTATGTACAGGACTCATCATGCACTGGAGGCCCAGCCTGGGACCTTGCTGTCTTAGTTAGGGTTTCTATTGCTGTAACAAAACACTATGACCAAAAGGCAATTTGGGTAGAAAAGGATTTATTTGGTTTATACTTCCAGATCATACTCCGTCATTGGAGGAGTCAGAAGAGGAACTCCCACAGGGCAGGATCCTGGAGGCAGGAGGTGATGCAGAGGCCATGGAGGGTGCTGCTTACTGGCTTGCTCATCCTGCTTTCTTATAGAACCCAGGGCTAGCAGCTCAGGGATGACACCACCCACAGTAGACTGGGCCTTCCCCTATTGATCACTAATTGAGAAAATGTTTATAATTGGATCTCATGGAGGCATTTCCTCACCATTTCCTCACTGCAGTGCCTTCCTCTCTGTTGACTCTAGCTTGTGTCAAGTTGACATACAAAGCCAGCCAGTACAACTGACCTTTGACACATAAATACATCACTTTTAAAACCACAATAGCTTCTTTCTTATTCATCCCCAAGATGTCACATTAAAAATATAAATAACTTTCAAAGGCCCACAGTCTTTACAAATTCAAACACATTAAAATTTGAGTCCCTTAAAAATCCAAAGTCTCTCAACTGTGAGCTCCAGTAAAATACTGTTTTACTTCAAGAGGGAGAAATCAGGGCACCGTCACAATCAAATCAAAGCAAAACAAAGTTCCAACCGTCCAATGGCTGGGATCCACTCAAAATCTTCTGGACTCCTCCAAATGTCTGGGTCACTTCCCCAGCTCTACCCTCTGTAGCACACACAGCTTGTCTTCCAGGCTCCAGCTGGCTGCACTCCACAGCTGCTCCTGTTCTTAGTGGTCATCCCACAGTACTGGCATCTCCAAAATGCTGGGGTCCTCTCTGCAACTGGGCTGCACTTTCACCAATAGCCTCTCATAGGCTCTCCTCATGGTGCCAACCCTCAGCTTCTTTGTATGACCCCCTTCGATCCTGAGCCTCAACAGCTTTGAGGCAGCACATTTATCAATGACCTTTCCTGGCCTCTCACAGTGCCAAACCTCTCAGCTGTTCCCCAGGACCCCTTCAAGTCACCACCTGGGTGACTTTGACACATTACCAAGGCCCAATGCCAGCATAGGGTACCATTTTGGCTGCTTCTGGAACACAGCTTCTCTGTCCTCTCAGGAAACACTTCCCAGAAGATTTTCCCTCAGTGATGCAGTTCTCTTTTTAGTCACCGATAATTTCTTAGCTCCAGCTGACCAGCATCAAGTATCCCAGCAAAGCAAAGTTTCACTTTAGTAGTTCTGGTCCCTTGTTAGTCACAGCTGATTCTTCAACCCCAGCTAACCGGAACCACAGGATCTTAATTCAAAATAACAAATGGCCCTGATAGAGTCTTTGTTCTTCCCTCTGAAACGTCACAAGCCAGGCCCCCAAACTCTGTACTGCTCTCAACATTCTTGTCTCCCAAGCTCCCACAGAACATCCCACTGTGCTCTTAGTTCCAAAGTCTTGCCACAACCCCTCCAAAAACACTGGCAGGTCTGTCACAGCAATACCCCACAATCTGGTCCTAACTCATCTTAGTTAGGGTTTTTATTGCTGCAACAAAACACCACGACCAAAAAGCAATTTGGGGAGAAAAGGGTTAAATTGGCTTACACTTCCAGATCATACTCTACCACTACAGGAAGTCAGAACAGGAACTCCCACAGGGCAGGACCCAGGAAGCAAGTGCTGATGCAGAGGTCATGGAGGGTGCTGCTTACTGGCTTGCTCCTCATGGCTTGCTCAGTCTGTTTTCTTACAGACCCCAAACACACTACCCAAGGAAGGCACCACCCACAGTGGACTGGACCCTCCCTAACTGATCACTAATTGAGAGAATGCCTTACAGCCAGATCTCATGGAAGCATTTCCTCAGCTCAGGCTCCTTCCTCTCTGATGACTCTAGCTTGTGTCAAATTGACATGAAACCAGCTGGTACACTTACCGATGGTGCCCAGCTGACCCCAGCACACATTGCCCCCTACACTCTGGGACTCTGATTCCCATCACTCTGCAACACCTGACATGTTACAGCTTCTGATATGCCACTGACATCACTACCATCCACCCAGGAGTATAAGAGGAATCATAACCAGTGTGGACCACTGGATGAGGGCAGTGATGGGGCAGGTAGGCTCAGAAGATAATTTGAGTTTCTGTACCCAAAACTCAGTTATGACAATAAACATGAGTTCAATACAATATTTAAAGAAACCAGGGAGCTGGGGGTGCTGGTGCGTGCCTTTAATCCCAGCACCAAGGGAGGGGGTGGGGGC